GGAGCAGGCCTGGAGGAAATCCTTTTGGGCTCCTGGGGGTTGACTCCCCTACCCACCTCAGGACGGTACCCAGGAGGAAGCATGTAGCCTGCTTCGCTGAGTGATGGGCATTTCATAAGTCTTGTGAATGTGGAATGCAGAGGACAGAGTTGTGTTGTCTTGTTTGGAAGAGGCCTTTCAGAAAGCCTTCATCTGTCAAACACCAGGGGGGCAGTTGCCATGGTGAAAAGCCTGGGGTGGGAGGGCCCCGGCCTTTTCTTCTGTGCATGGCTGGATCCTCCCACAAGGCTTTCATGCGAGAGAAAGTGGTCATTCTGGTGGTGAGGGAGAAGCCCCAGAGGCCTGGGGGAGGTAGGCCACGTGGAGCTGGGTTCCCAGCCATGCCCCTGCTTCAAATTCAATGACAGAGCACGTGATTTCCCAGGACAGAGTGGCTTGCAGCTCTGTCTTCTCTTTCCTCAGCTATTTGAAAGCAGGGGGGCCGGTCTCAGTGGCTCACGCCTGTAATCCGAGCACTTTGGGAGGCCAAGATGGGCGGATCACAAGGTCAGGATCAATCTGACCTGTCCAACATAGTGAAATCCCATCTCTACTAAAAATAGAAAAAATTAGCTGGGCGTGGTGGTGCAGGTCTGTAGTCCCAGGTACTCAGGAGGCTGAGGCAGGAGAATCGCTTGAACTGGGACCTGGGAGGAGGAGGTTGCGGTGATCATGCCATTGCACTCCAGCCTGGACTACAGAGCAAGACTCTGTCTCAAAAAAAAAAAAAAAAAAAAAAACAAACCCAAAAAAAAACAAGAAAGCAAGCAGGGCTTGTCCATCTAGCAGATTAGAAAATGAGATGGAACTTGTTCTCCTTACTTAAAAGCAGGGAAGAAAGCCTTGTGAGGAGAGGACACAAAACCTGTTCGGTGACTTGTCATTTCAGTGAAAACACAAACCAGTTCAGGTGAGCATTCCCGACTCCTCCCCTTCCTCCTCCCCCCAGCAGCCCTGACGGGACCACAGGAAAACAAGGCCAGCGCTCGCTCCTCGCTCCACTCCGCTCGCTCCTCCGAGCTCACCATTCTTTGATGACAGAAGTTTAAGAACCCAAGGAAGCAGCTTAGGGGAAAACAAGTCTGTTAATCTCGCCAGGTCACAGTGATGAATACATGCAGAGCAATGCCTTCTGGAGGCCAGTCGTCATTGGGAAAACAGTACAGGAGTTAGGATAAAAGTAAATTGTTACGTTTCATCTTTCTCTTCATTCCTCCTTATGAAGCATTAAATAAGTGATTCCTTAGATCACCTACTGTATAAAAATCATTACCACCAAATCCTCTGACAGGTCAGAATCCTTACAGCAAGACGTGTGGAAATTTAAAGAGAATGCATTTCTTTTTTCTTTTTGAGACACGCTGTCTCTTGCCCAGGTTGGAGTGCCGTGGCAAGAGCTAGGCTCACTGCAACCTTGTCCTCCCAGATGCAAGCGATACTGCCACTCTGCCTCCTGAGTAGCTGGGACTACAGGTGCATGCCACCAGGCCGGACTAGTTATTTTTATTTTAATTTTTGTAGAGATAGGGACTCACTACATTGCTCAGGCTGGCCTCGAACTCCTGGGCTCAAGCAATCTCCCCACCTCGGCCTCCCAAAGTTTTGGCATTACAGGCATGAGCCACATGCCTGGTCAAGAGAATGTATTTCCAATTTTTTGTTTTTAATAAAACAGTCAATCCTAAGGTTTCTGTAAGGCAGTGCTCATCACCTCTGCCCAGCTCTTCACGATAGCTGGTTTCAAATGGGCATCCTACAGTGGAATGCTGCTCCAGGAATTTTGAGTGAGGAATCCTAGAGTCAGAAGTCAACTTGTGCAGCCCAGGAGGGGCTGAAGAGCAGGCAGGCAGCACAGGCTGTGACCCCTGGGCCTGGGGCCGCCCTCACGCGCCTCTGAGTTCCATCGAAAAGCGTGGGGCCGAGGGTTCTATCATTAAACACTATGGAAAAGTCATCCTCCAAATTCCTGATGAAAGCATCCCAGGATCCGTGCCCCTTCTCTCCTCAATCAGCCTTCTAGGAGAATGTGGGCAGGGAGAAGCAATCATCATTTCTGCCAGTTTTGTGAAATTGGGTATGCATGTGAGGAACCAAGTGTCAGAAAGCGGAGGGAGGAGAGGACTCTGCAGATGCTGCGATCCTGTGTTTGGGGTTGTCATCTGCTGTTGGGACTCTGGTTTGGCCATTTGCACACAGCTTTTGAAAAGCCAAGGACATGGCTGGGGCGATGGCTCATGCCTGTACTCCCAGCACTTTGGGAAGCTGAGGCTGGTGGATCATCTGAGGTTAGGAGTTTGAGACCAGCCTGGTCAAAATGGTGAAACCCCGTCTCTACTAAAAATACAAAAATTAGCTGGACATAGTGGCACGTGCCTGTAATCCCAGCTACTCAGGAGGCTGAGGCAGGAGAATCACTTGAATCCAGCAGGTGGAGGTTGCAGTGAGCCAAGATTGTGCCACTGCACTTCAGCCTGGGCAAAGGTTATTCTCTCAGTTCTTGGGAAACGGAGATAAGACCTTTTCAAAAAGAAAAGGATAATTTTCTTTTTTTCATTTAAGCATTAAGATAAAGAGTTTGTAAAAGTGGAGGGTGATTTACAAGCATCACTTGGGGAGAAGAGTGGGGCACTTAGGACTCGTCTTTCCATTACAATTTTGCTTTGAGGTATGTATGGTCCTTCTAATTACAGTGAACCAGATGACCTTTAAGAAATCCCATCATATAATTATGACAAGAAAATGAATGCCCCTCCACAAACTGGGTTTGCTAACATATGTTCACGTACAGGTTAGATTAGCAGCAGCTAGAATTTCAACTTCATACAAAACATATGGCTTTAATTAGTAGGGTTTTAGACATAAGAAGTGACCAAAGTGACCATCAGTATAACAGATGAATAAACAGAAGAAATGAATAAATAGAAGGAAAGGGTATAACCATTTAAAAGAAAGTAACTGAGAATATAGCATGCAATGCAAAAACAAGCTTAAGATAAAACTCTTAAATTTATTTTCCAAAAATGTGATTATGGCAACAAATAAACTGATAAGCAGTCCAGTTCACCCTACTCACATTGAAATCATAGGGTCACAGAAAAGGATGCAGTCCTCATTTACAAAGAGTATTTAAAATGCTGGGTGTATCAAGACCTTCTCTTATTGAACACTGTATGGCATCTTGCTTTGTAAAAAGGAAACACAGCCCTTACAAATCCTTTAAACCCATCCAACATTAACAGGAGGAAAATTTACAGTACTACTTTTGAAAGCTGTAAAATAAAGCACCTATTTAAGATCATCAAGAATCTATGAGGTTATTATGGGAATAAGAGCTGGATGAGACTAAATATTGCATTTCTAAGGAAAAAAGTATAATCATGCACTTTACGTAACTTAAAAGGCAGACGGAATACTATGAAAAATGCCCTTCACAGCACATCTAAGTCTGAATTTAAGTAATACTCAACAGGAAAGAAACAGGCTCTGTTAAGCCCTGGCAGAGACATAAAAACACAAGGGCGTGACTGCTCAGGGCAGCCCTTCCTGTCTATTTTTAGAGGTCTAAGACTCCAGCCTTAAATAGTTTTGATAATAACGCTTGTGGCATAACTCGGCGCGTAAGACATGGTCTGGGAGGAAACTGGATTTTTTGTGCTCTGTAAACTCGTTCACGGGTTTTTCCCTACTGAGATCTTGCTTGTGGAACATGACAGTCGGGGGGGATCTTTAAGAGTCTTTTGCTTCATTCTGTTGACTGGCTACCTTGGAACACGCAAAACTAAAATTGATAAAGGAGATTAGGTTTTTTTGTTTGTGTTTTTGAGACGGAGTTTCACTTATTGCCCAGGCTGGAGTGCAATGGCATGATCTCAGCTCAGCAAAACCTCCGCCTCCCAGGATTAAGCGATTCTCCTGCCTCAGCCTCCTGAGTAGCTGGGATTACAGGCATGCACCCCCACACCCGACTAATTTTGTATTTTTTTTTTTTAGTAGAGACGGGGTTTCACCATGTTGTTCAGGCTGGACTTGAACTCCCAACCTCAGGTGATCCACCCAACTCGGCCTCCCAAAGTGCTGGGATTATAGGCATGAGCCACCGTACCCTGCCTGTTTTTGTTTTTTGAGACAGAGTCTTGCTCTGCCATCCAGGCTGGAGTGCAGTGGTGTGATCTTGGCTCACTGCAATCTCCGCCTCCTGGGTTCAAGCAATTCCCTGCCTCAGCGTCCCCAGTAGATGGGACTACAGGCACCTGCCACCATGCCCGGCTAATTTTTACATTTTTAGTAGAGATGGGATTTCAGCATCTTGGCCAGGCTTGTCTTGAACTCCTGACCTCATGATCTGCCCGCTTGGCCTCCCAAAGTGCTGGGATTACAGGCATGATCCCAGCAAGGCTGTTTAGTGAACAATCTTGCTTACTTAGAAGTGGAGAATATTACTTTAATTGGGAACAGAGGAACATTTTGTTGAGGAAAAAGCATTTTGGGTTCACCAAAATACCATGGAGATGTGTCCTTAACGGACTTCCCTACTAGGAAGTTAACAATTTCTTCTATTATTATCCATCAGGATGCTGAGGTGGCTCTGTCTACTCAAGGATAGGAAGCGCTGGGATCCTGCAGTGACTTAGGAGGGTGTTGAGAAGTTTACGTAGTAATGATGCATGTGGACACACAGGGTGCCTATGCATGTATATGTTGACACGTGTATCTAAAAACACATACACAGCCTCATGCACACGTCCCAGACCTAGGAGTCCAATGAGACTTGCTTTCTCAAAATTACCACCTATTTCACTCACCAAACTCAAAATTATAGTACATCATACTCCAAAGGTTTCATTTCAGTTTTCAGTAAAAAACAAAACTGGGCAAGCTAAATTACGTCGAGAAACAAAAGCAAAGTACCATGATGCCGCACCCTTCGAAAACAAAAGCAAATACATTAAGACATTACAAAATGGAACAAGCATTTCTATTTTCTTAGAAAAGGCGGGGGGAATCCTGAGAGGAAGGGATCTAAACTGGCTTTCATGTCATGTACTTGGAGAAAAAGGCAGATGAGACTCAAGGAGGACAATCGCACCAACCCTGCTCCTCCCCGACGCCCCCAAAAGGTGGCATTTACACATCACGGAAACCTATGGGTTTAACAGGTTCTTTTCTCAGTTCTTGGGAAAAGGGAGACAAGACCCCGGCTGGATTCCTTTAGGGAAGAGTCCTCTGTTCCGGTGGCTGGAGCCAGCGGTGCGGGCTCGGCCAGGAGGCCCGAGCCTGGCCCCTCTCCACTTGCATGCGCCGCAGAGGGCAGGGGCTCTGGCTCTCACATCGGTTTTAGGCCCGGCAGCTCCTGGATGCGATGCAGCTCCTCTTTTACCCTCTCTTCGGGGTGGGGAGACACAGGGTGGATCCGGGCCCGCGCGGCCCTCACGAGGTCTCCCTGAGCAGCCCCAGCTTCCGCAGGGCCTCCCTGCGCGCCTCCTCCGAGGAGCCACGGCCCACGAACTGCACGGTGACGCCCTGGGGCCGGGGCAGGGAGTCTGCGCGACGCTGCACGTCCTTGCCGCCATCGGGCTGCCGGGGCCTGAGGATGCTCTGGTGGCCCCGCGTGCTGGGAAGGGCCACGCCGGGGCGGAAGCAGAGGGACTTCCCAGTGGGCGCGAAGGTACTGGGCGCACTCTTCAGGGCCTCGTGCGCGCTCGGGAAGCCGTTGGCCAGTGCCGGGCCCCGCGGAGCCTGGCTCCCTGCACGGAGACTCTCAGCGGGGCCCGTCCTGTCCTGGCCACGCGCCACCGGCTCTGGGAAGCAGCCGCGCCCCGGGGCCCCCTCACCCGCGTCCCCCGTGGCAGGGAAGGCACCGGCATGGCCGTGGATGGTGGCTAGCACCTGCGCCCTGCGCTCCTGCACGCTGACGGCCGCCTTGGACAGGGTCCTACGGGGCTCCCGGGCTGCACCATTGGTGACGATGATGTTGCTGGGGAAGCGGGGGGCCTTGGGCTGTGCCGGGCGGCTGGGCCTCAGGTCAGGGTCTCCACTGCGGCGTCCCCAGGCGGCTGGTGTCCTCCACTCCCCCGGTCGGCCCTCCCCAGACGGGAAGGTGGGCGAGAAGGCTTCACTCTCCGCAAGCCTCTCAGAAATCTTCTGCGCGATAACCAAGGGTGTGGGAACGGAGCGCAGGAGTCGGGGGTGCTCCTTCGGCGGGGAGGGGGCACGCAGCTCCCTCCTGGGGGGTTCGGGGGTGCCGGGCACCGGCGGCGCAGGAACGGTCTCGGGAGCCGGAGGGAGGGTCTCGGTAGCGGGGGTGTCCGCCGGAGGTGCAGGAGTCTCAGCATCTTGTTTCCTATGCTCCTTCCCGGAAGGTGCAGGCCCTGGAAGAGAGGGAAGAAAGAGCCTGTGAGCCACTAGCCCAGGTTAAGTAAAGGCATGAAATTCCCTCTCGCTGAACTGGAAAGAGCCTCAACCAGACCTGACACCAACTTCCCCGGTGCCGCCTGTGAGTGAACTACTCTCTCCGGGTTCCCTGGACTAGAGAAACAGGTGGTATGTTATGCTCATGACCTCACATCATGAGAAGGGACAAATCATGATAGCCCTGCAAGTCAGACAGTCGGCACCCAGGAGACATGCCCTCCACGCGGGCTGCTGAGGCTCCAGCCCCTGAGGCTGGGACAGGATGCACGCGGTGACCAGCTCATCGGGGAGTTTACAGAGGGGAAACTGAGGTTAGAATGTGTGGCATACACAGACACCAGCAGGTCTTTCCTTCTCGATGAAGGACATGAATCGGTGTCACTTTCCTCTATGATGGCGAATGTAACAGGCCTGAGTCTTGACACAGAATGCACCAATCACAGATCACCTGGCACTGCTCTACTTATGCACCTGTCTCCCAAAATAGAACTGGGCCACGTGGTGGCTCACTCCTCTAATCCCAGCACTTTGGGAGGCCAAGGCAGGTGGATCACATGAGGCCAGAAGTTCAAGACCAGCCTGGCCAACATAGTGAAACCCTGACTCTACTAAAAATACAATTAGCAGGGTGTGGTGGCATGTGCCAATAGTCCCAGCTACTCTGGAGGCTGAGGTGGAAGAATCACTTGAACCTGGGAGGCGGAGGTTGCAGTGAGCTGAGATGGCACCACTGCACTCCAGCCTGGGTGACAAGAGTGAGACTTTGTCTCAGAAAAAAAAAAAAAAATTCCTGAAATCGTACCTTTTTATGTTCGTATCTTCAGAATCTCACAATATATACTCTGTGGGCACTTAAAATTGTTATGAAAATGCCAGGTGTAGTGGCTCACACCTGCAATCCCAGCAAGTTGGGAGGCTGAGGTGGGAGGATCACTTGTGCCCCAAAGTTCGAGACTAGCCTGGGCTGCATAGTGAGACCCTCATCTCTAAAAATAATGAAAAATAAAAAATTAGCCAGGCATGGTGACTGCTTGGGAGGCTGAGGTGGGAGGATCATTTAAGCCCAGCAATTGGAGGCTGCAGTGAGCCATGACTGTGCCATTGCACTCCAGCCTGGGTGACAGAGCAAGTTTCTGTTTCAAAAAAAATTGTTATGAAAATAGCATGTTAGAGAACTGATGGAGAGGTGTAGCTGATTTTTCAGAGTGTTTTCCTTGGCGTGACTATGTGATCTCACATTTTAAATGTATCAGCTGCTTCAAATGACTTTTGGAACTAGATTTCAAAGCGGAAGTACAATATAAATGGGAAATTCACATTACTTCTCTTCTTTGAAGAGATGGCTGCAAACCAAGTTCCGTATTTACATGGAATCCGTATCCAGAGTATGCGAAGTTCAGTGTAATACATAGCCTTGCTTAAAATACATATATGCATATACATGTGCACATACTTTATTTCTAGTGGCTCAAGACAAATGCCAGTATTTTATCATTACCACAGCAAAAATACTTTTTTCCTCATCCCTTCCAATCCAACCCCTTGGCCACATGTGTTTCCAGTATCCTTTCCAATCAGGGAAAAAAACTGGAAGATATTTCTCTCTGCCCATTTCTGTCCAGTTCAGGGATCCCCAACACCCCTGGTACTGGTCTGTGGCCTGTTAGGAACTGTAAGCGGTGAGTGAGTGAAGCTCATTTGTATTTACAGCCACTACCCATGGCTCCCATTACCGAGCTCCACCTCCTGCCACGTCAGCAATGATACTAGATTCTCTTTCTTTTTTGAGACAGGGTCTTGCTCTGCCACCCAGGCTGGAGTGCAGTGGTGCAATCTTGGCTCACTGCAGCCTCTGGTGGGTTCAAGTGATTCTCGTGCCTCAGCCTCTGGAGCAGCTGGAACTACAGGCATGCACCACCAGGCCCAGCTAATTTTCACTGTGTTGGCCAGGCTGGTCTTGAACTCCTGGCCTCAAGTGATCCATGGCGCCCAGCCTGTAAAATAATTACCTGGAAGCCATTTCTAATTTTCTTTCTTTCTGTGCACGTGTGCATTGTGTATGAAAATGTAAACTCCGGGCCGGGCACGGTGGCTCATGCCTGTAATCCCAGCCCTTTGGGAGGCTGAGGCGAGTGGATCACCTGAAGTCAGGCGTTCAAGACCAGTCTGGCCAAAATGGCGAAACCCCGTGTCTACTAAAAGTACTTAGCCGGGTGTGGTGGCAGGTGCTTGTAGTCCCAGCTACCAGGAAGCTGAGGCAAGAGAATTGTTTGAACCTGGGAGACAGAGGTGAGCTGAGATAGTGCCACTGCACTCCAGCCTGGGCAACAAGAACGAGACTCCATCTCAAAAAAAGAAAAGAAAAAACAAAAAAAGCAAACTGTAAACTCCACTTAAGGGCCCAGTTTGTTTCCTCCTTTATTCTAGTCCCTCAGGCATTTCCCTTTGCAGGACAATGAAACTGCCGAGGATGCTTTTCCCCTATAAAAATCTGGGAAGACTCAACAGCTTCTACTGGCAAACACAGGAGATCACAAAAAGGATCTCTGTGCCCCACAGACACGAGCAAACCACGTCCCAGGCCTGGCCTGTGCTTCCCCCTCACCTGCTGCCTGGGCCCTCTCTGGAAGGCCCTCGGATTCCCTGGCGCGAGGTGCCAACTGCACTAAGTCGATGACATCTTCAGGCTCGGAGAGACTGGAGGTGCTCTCTCCCAGAGACGGGGAGCAGGGGCAGCATGCTCCCCCATCACACAGCACTGGCTCCTCAAAGTCCTCGTCCAGGGAGTCGATCGTCTCCTCAAAAAACAGAAGGACATCCTTTTCCTCATGGGTGAGGTACTTCAGGCTCTCATCATCCTAGAGAACAGGTTTGGGGATTGGGAATGGAAGAAAACAAACAGCAGCTTCACTAAAGAGACAAAAGCCCAGGCAAAGCCTGGATCAGTCCATAGCAGCGGGCGGAACTCACTGTCCTGAGTGCCCCGTCATGCAGGGCGCCCCTGCCATGCTGCCTGCGTGTGCCTCCCCATCACGCTCGGAAAGGCAGAGCAAATCACGGAGCCTCAAAGCTAACAGGGCCTCACCTTGGGGTTCTTAGCAAGTCAATGACAAAAAGCGCCTCTTGGGGAATGCACTGGCGAGCTGCTGTCAGCCTACTGCTATCTGGCCCACTTGTTTTTCCATAATCATGGGAAACCTCTGCTTAAACACAGTGGATTGAACTCACATTTCTCTCTTCTCTCTCCAGAAACCTTACTAAAACAAGGGATTTTTTTTTTTTTTTTTTTTTTTGAGGCAGAGTCTGCTCTGTTGCCCAGGCTGGAGTGCAGTGGTGTGATCTTGGCTCACTGCAACCTGCGCCTCCCAGGTTCAAACCATTCTCCTTCCTCAGCCCTCCCAAGTAGCTGGGATTATAGGCATGCACCACCATGTCCAGTTAATTTTTGTATTTCTAGTAGAGATGGGGTTTCACTATGTTGGCCAGGCTGGTCTCGAACTCCTGACCTCAGGTGATCTGCCTGCTTCAGCTTCCCAAAGTGCTGGGATTACAGGCGTGAGCCACCATGCCTGGCAAAACAAAGGCATTTTTTAAAGGCACAAATCACAACCACAAAATAGCAGGATGAGTGATGACAGAGCAAAAGCTGGGCAACCAGACAGCAGGACAGACGGAGACAGAGTGAGAAGGCCCAGGAAAGCCAGTGACCCACCTGCTGCATCCCGCAGAACCGCCCAGAAGCTCAGGCCCTGGAGGTGCTGAGCGGCTCTGGAAGTGTGGGCAAGGTGAAGAGAGACCAACTATTTGAAAGTCTCTTTCAGAAGCAATAAGCTCATCCTGGCACAAAACTAGCCACTTACTCTCAAAGGTGACAGAGGAACCCTGAAGAGGGGCCACAGAGCAAAGCTGATGGTGGAGCACTATGTTAACAAGGTAGGCTACCAGTGTAGACTAGGACATGTTAACAGTGTGGCCATCAGTGCAGCCAAGTGGCCACCCTCCAGACGGAAGACTGTACGTGTCATCTCCGGTGAACCTGAAGAATCCAAAGGCCAAAAAAAGCTGATCCCAAGGGTTCCCCAGCAAGATCAGTCGCAGGGAAAGATGACAGTCAATGAATCCTAGCATAGACCTGTGCAGCAGTTTCTTACTGTCCTACTCTGGAGTATGTGCAGATAGCTAATAACCACCGAGCGTCTGAGGAAACCTGTTATGTGAAAGAGCTATCAAAAGGACAAAAATGCTACTTACAGGAAATGAACCATTAAAAACTTCAAAAAGGTGCATCATCAGTTGTCAGATATGAGATTCTGAATCCATAAACAGCATGTTTTTTTCTTTATAGGACAAAAGAAGACTGTTAGAATCAAAAAAAAAATTAGCAGAAGAAAAAAATGAAAAACTAAATAAAAGCCTAAAAGATAAAGTTGTGAAATCAGAAAACTGAAAAAAGAAAAGGGTAAGAAAATTAGAGGATAGATCTGGGAGGGCCACTGTGTGAGTAATGGGAGTTCCAGAAAGAGAAATCAGAGATAATGAGAGGAAGAAATTATCAAAATAAAGTAATTCATGGGAATGCCCCTGAAGAGGAACATGTTTCCAAATTGAAAGGGGTCATGAATGTACAACCTAATGAAGAAAAAGCAAACAGACCCATGCCACAGTATGCATCATTGTGAAATTTCAGAATACTGAGAGCCAAGAAAAGATCCTGAAAGCTTCCCAGAGTGAAAAAGCAGGTCACATACAAAAGACCAGAAATTAGAGGCAAGGTGGGTGGATCACTCAAGCGCAGGAGTTTAAGACCAGGCTGGCCAACATGGTGAAATCCTGTCTCTACTAAAAATACAAAAATTAGCTGGGTGTGGTGGCGTGCACCTCTAATCCCAGCTACTCAGGAGGCTGAGGCAGGAGAATCACCTGAACTTGGGAGGTGGAGGTTGCAGTGAGCAGAGATTGCACCACTGTACTCCAGCCTGGGTGACAGAGTGAGACTCTGTCTCAAAAAAAAGAAAAAAAAAGGATCAGAAATCAGAATTTGACAACTGCCTGTGGTTATGTAAGAGAGCATCCTTGTTTTTAAAATGTACTTCAGTATTGAGGGGAGTATTATATAGCAACTACATTCAAATGGTTCAGAAAAAAGTATGCATGTGTGTGTAGATACATGTAGAGAGAAGGAAAGGGAGCATGCTAAAATGTGGAAAAAATTTAAAAATTGGTGAATGTAATTAAAGGGTACGTGGGAGTTCTCTGTGCTATTCTTACAACTTCATTAAGTTTGAAATAACTTCTAAACAATTTAAACACACAAAAGTCCAGGAATCAGAAAACAGCAACAGACTTCTCAGCAGCAACACTAGAAGCCGGGAGACAATGAGTGCTCAAAACCCGATAAATTCTGAACTAGAATCCAATACATAATCTGATTATTAATTAGAATTCTTGAAGAATAAAGATTTTTTTTTTTTTTGAATAAATATGTTTCTTAGACATGCAAGGTCTAACACTCCGATCTCCCATGCCAGCCTTTCTGAGGAGGCCACTGGAGGGTAGTCAGGAAGGGAAGCTGCTCCTCCCAACACGGAGTAAACCCAGACAGAAGACAGGAGCCAGCTAACAGGAGCGTCCACACAACGCTGCAGGGAATCCCAGAATAACAGGGGTTCCCTAGGAAGCCAACTGTGTGGTCAGCAAGTAGACCAGTCCACAGCAAGCCCGAGGGCGACACAGGAAAGCACACAAGCAAATAAAAGCAAAACCGTGATCACAGAAAAACCAAAGTGAGAAAATGCATTCATCCATCAATCTGTATACAGCAATATACACACCTTTACCATAACAGATACAGAGTTGTCTCAGATTGATATATATATACTTTATATACACAGGAAAAAATACTGAAAGGATATATAGCAATATGTCAATAGTGGAGGTAAGTAACAAATAGAGTGGACAGCTGACGCCTCCAGCTGAGTAGGAAGTGGGGGTGGCACATGCATGATGACGCTCTTATAAACCCTGTAGACAATTTGACTCTATAATGCTATGAGTGTGGACGCTGCTTCTGCTGTACTTTGGCTGTTTTGGTTTTTTGGTGGGGGATGTTGTCACTCCCATCACCCAGGCTGTTGAGTACAGTGGCACGATCTTGGCTTACTGCAATCTCTACCCACAGGGCTCAAGCAATTCTTCTGCCTCAGCCTTTCGAGTAGCAGGGACTGCAGGTACCCACCTGCCCCCTGCTAATGTATTTTTTGTCCTATCAAAAGTGATTAAGAGCTGATCCATGCAGTGTGGACTGATGCTTTCCACACTGATTTGAGAGGTATTCAAATGCCCATGTAGCCACAGCATGTAACTCCGAGGCCCATACCGGAGCCTGTGGCCTACACAATTTCAGAGGCTGTAGTTGAAGGCATAGTACACTGTTGTTTTGGGGATTAACACAAGAACACATGCAAATTTCTCAAGCTAGCCTGGTCTTATTAGCTTACTCCTGAAAGAAGGAGGGCTCAGGAAAAGGAGAGATACCTCGACGGGGGTTAGGTAGGCAGGCAGAATGGTGCTAGGGAGGATAAGCCATGCGTACCTGTTGGATATAAACCCACGCACAGTTGCTGGGTCTGAAGACGTGTGTCTGCTCAGGCGGGCAGACACAGCTTTCCGAAGTGGTTGTACTGGCTGATGTTTTCAACAGGCCTGGTTGCGCTGGTGCCCCGAAGGAGAGGAATTCAGTTACATCTCACTGTGGTTTTTTTCCATGTCATTTCCATGAAGACTAAGGATGTTGAACATTTTTTCTCCATAATACAGATGAGTACTCCTCATCTGAAATGCTTGGGATAAGAAGTGTTCTGGATTTTTTTTCACATTTTGAAATATTTGCCTATACATAATGAAATGTTTATGTTTCATATATGCCTTTTGCTAATTTTTTGGAGACTGGGTCTCACCCTGTTGCCCAGGCTGGAGTGGAGTGGTGTAATCACGGCTCACTGCAGCCTAGGTCTCCCCTGCTCAAGTGATCTTCCCACCTCAGCCTCCCCAGTAGCTGGGACCTACTGGCACACACTACCATGCCCAGCTAATTTTTATGCATTTTTTTGTAGAGACAAAGTCCCACCATATTGTCCAGGCTGGTCTTGAACTCTGGGCTCAGGTGATCCTCTGGCCTCGGCTTCCCAAAGTGCTGGTATTGCAACCATAAGCCACTGTGCCTAGTGTCTAATAGATCTTGATATCTGGCAAAGTCCTCGAGTTTTGTTGGAGTTCTTAAAGTCCTCCTTCTTTGAGCCTGGTTAGCTTTTCTTAGCCCCTTTTTATTTCCATATATATTTTACTATCAGCTCATCAATTTCCATATTCACATAAGCACACACATAGCCCTGATGTGACTTTAACTGGGATTGCGTAAAAGTTTCTCAAACTGGAGAGAACTGATGCCTTTACAATCTTTTCTCGACCCATGAATACGGCATGTGGCTTCATTTATTTAGATGCATGGTTCTCAAAGTGTGATTTTCGGCCAAGAAGCAGCATCTGTGAACTTGTTAGACACATTCTCGGGTTCAATCCCAGATCTACTGCATTAGAAACTTGAGGCATGGGGCCTATCAGTCTGTGTGGGATGTGGCCTCCAGAGTCTGATGCGCTGAAGCGGCAGATGCCCGATGTGACTCTTCAATTTCTCTCAGCGATTTCTCTCGGTTTCCAGTGTAGACAACTCTCCTGCCCTGTCTACTGAGGTATTTGCCGTGGCTCTGCCTATGCTTCTCAGTTAACTTTCCACCATTCTCTCCTTTATCTTCCTCAGGAGGCACGGCCAACTCTTTGGGAAAGGGCTAGGTGGTAAATA